AACTTAAACTTATGTAAGAATGGTATATATGTAGAACTTAAAAGTACATTAAATAATGACACATGAAAAGTACTGCTGATAAACCATAGATATATATATATATCAATATAGGTATATTTGTATATCTATGTTTTAATTGATTCTGCTTCATTACATATGACAACGATAATCAACGGGGACTTATGTACTGGTACAGAATTACATTTCATAAAGACTTTGTAGAGACCGACTTCGTTGACATTAAAATCAATTTCAATTCGTTCTGGATCAAGTACCTTTAATACCATTGTACTTAGAACTCCAGAAGGACTTTCAACTTTAACTTCAAAGTTTCCCTTAGCTCCATTTCGCCTTATTATAAAATTGATATCTGTATTTTTATGAACTACACTATTAGGAAAATGCAGCAACTGTACTTTACTGGTATCGGTTAGTTCCGGTGCAATAAATATGCTATGATCGTTTACTGGATACACATCTGTGAAATTAGAAAGAAGATAAGTATTTTATTAACAATAATTTAGAAATTTTATATATGGTAAAACAATGGGTTACTAAAATTAAGTACTTATTCCAATAAATTCAAGATTCTCTTTAAAGTGAAAGCTCTATTGATCTTTGATATAAAAACACCTTTAAGAGAGTATATCCACTATGGTGGTAATTTGGGTGTATAAAGTATTCAGTAAATTAACTAACAAAGCTATTGTGATATTTTTAGATAGTCATACCGTGAGCATCTTTCAATTTGGCTATCTGCTATAAAAACTACTACTAACGTCTAAGTCTTTTATATAGTATCTAATCAAGGCACTATGGTCGTAAGTTGAAAAATAAGTGATACAGAAGTATCAATCGTAATTCAGATTTCCAGAATGTCGCTTTAATGATGGTTTTTGGTAGAGTCAGCTATTTTGGGTAACGTTTTCCAATGCACTATATAAGGACATTTGAGGCCCTATGCTCCACTAGGAGAGAAGAAGAGCTGTAAGTAAGTAAGTAATATAAGGACATAGTTTACTTCTAGGATTTAATGCTATTAGGCTTTAATGAGTTTATGCAATTTTAACAAAACTGCACATATATACTTTCTACATAAAATATTTAACTTAAAGACCCGATATCTGAAAAACTAAGCCATATATTGCCATATAGCATAGTGGAAAAAGTTGTTCAGTATTGCTGTATTTACTGAAACTCGTTGTCAAAGGTGTGTCAAACCGTGTTAAGTATAAGTATTATTATTAGAAGGAACAATTAATCTTGACTAGGCTGTTTAAGATCTTGAGGGAGCTCTAAGACATTTTAGGCTTTGTCAAAGGTTAAATGTAATTTTTTTAAACATCTGAGTTCTTGTATTGTGACATATTCAGCTAATTGGCATAAGTAGATATCACCATAAGTCAAGTTTCGATGATTCTAGATAGTAACGATCATCGGTATAACATAGTCTAACAGTGATAGACTTAGAGCTATGGTATCTATCTCTCACTTATCTCTTTCTACCTCTCACAAGAACAAGATTTTTTTCTAGTGCTGTCCACAGTGAAAAACTTCAAACCTACAGCCGAAACGGATCAGATATATGGATGAAATTCGCTACATTCCTTACTTTTATTTTACAGTCCTCTTACGTTTCAATAAAATAATTGATATAATGTGTTCAAAGTTATTTTTTGTCCTCTTTTTTCTGTATTAAATTTTCGCTGTTCAGGTAGATTTGATATTTTCAAGTTCAAGGTAGAAACTATTGTAAGATACTGCAGATACCCACAGAATTTTTTATTAGGTGCCAACAAAAATGTATTTTTCTGAAAGCACTTGTAAGAATTATCAAGGGGTAATGCTAGTCCACATACACATATACATATATATATATATATATGATATTCTAATCTGATTTACTCACCTGCATCAGGTGTTTTCTGATATTTGCCAAATGTGTAATCATGTTCACTGTTCGCATTGGGAGTTGTATTTTTTCGCGTAGTACTACCACTTGTATCTAAACGCAATTCTTGAGATACTTTGAACATTTTAGCACTTTTATTCGTAACCCAGCACAGCGGAAATTAATTAAAATTTTATTTAAATGAACTGTTACTGAACTGCGTCTTCATTAACTCCTACGAGATACTGAATATAATTCTTAGACACTGCTTTCTCTATACCGCGTACACTACATATAGCACTATTTTTAATATTTCACCAACAATATTCCCTTTGATCCATTCCGTTGCGGAATTCTAGGGCGGTGATTGAGTAGCTTTATTTAGTATCTTTTCAAACACATTAAATTCTTTTTGTTTTTTTTTTATTTGTTTATTTTGTAAACAAATATTTATAGTTTTGGATCATTAGATTTACAAATCCACCATCAAGTGGATGTGTTTTCACTTTTGGAGTTTCGTTTGTAACGAGAGTAAAAGCGAAACTGATCGATCGATACATTATGGAATCATGACGATCTATCATAGCAGCAGTCATCAAGCACGAAGCACGATTGTGTTGATATACTCAGCAGATCAAATCTTTGAGTTCTCATACAAATTGAAAGATGTAAAATTCTACGCGAAGAGAATGAACGAATGAGAAACGTATTTGTATATGGATTTTTATTGGCATATGGCCCAATTCTAAAGTGAATTACAGCCATATAAACATACCTACCATATATACTCATACAGACTCGTACACACTAGAGAAGAAGAGGAAATCATTAAGCAAAATGACTGTTGCGGGTGCGGTTCTTGCATTAGCTTCTCTGAATAAATAAACAAACTTTATGCAATTCTACATCACATGTGTGCGTTTCTTAATTACTTAAATTTGCGGAAGCGTAAAGATAGCATAAGCCATGACGTCATATGGAAAATTTAAAGTCTTAATTTTTTGATTGATTGCACTTTCTACTTCGCGCTCAGAGAAAGATCTTGTCTATCAAGCTGGTTACGTTTTATTATATAAATATTAATTAGTGCATCGAATTGGTTATTGGTTATTGACCCATAGGTCAAAGCTACAAGTAGATCAAAGCAATAATTGAAACCTCACTAATGTGCATGTTCAGTTCAATAATATGATTTGAATTACAGAGTATTATTATTGTACTCTTCTGGGTTTAGAGTAGGTCTCTAAGCCCTGTTGCGTCAATAAAAAGTAGTACAGAACCTACATTACGGAGTTTTATTGCCTCTTCCGCGAGAATATGAATTCCCAGGAGCCTATTCCGTATGTGCACTAGCGCAGGGCATTCTAACAGCACATGTGTGGTCAATACTTCATTCTCTTTACAGAATCTACTATTTGCATCCGTATGCATACCCAGTCACGTAAGGTGGTATTATAGTTTACAGTGCCCTGCTAGGATTTCTGTGATGATTCAGTGTAAGTTTGACATCTTATCTTTCAATTCACCACAGTCAAAGATTTTTGGAAAGATAATATGAAAGAGATTTCGTATTCTGGCAGTTGTCTTAAAAGTTCTTTACTGGAAAATATAAAACCGTTATACGCATATGATTTGCGACCCATATATTACACATACACTAAATAGAGAGCAAACTGAGGCAGGAATAACCACTACTTTGTGTAATTCTAATCAATTTAAAATGTCTGCAATTGAAATTTAACCCACCCATAATCTCTCTTCAGACCTTCAATTAACGTAAATACACTACAAATGTTTGGAAAAACTTTAAAACTGGTTGATAATTAGTCGAGAAGTACTCAACATGGAGAACATCAACATCCAAATCATTAATTTTTTATTATGATTGGGCTTTTAGTGAACCAGTCTCTTCGGAGCTAAAACATAGCAAGTTTTTCTCTTAGATTCAAAACAGAAGTTGTTATTATGTTAAGGTATTCCCTTTAGTTATCGAACAAATCTCTTGCCTTTCACTAAAGAATGGAATTTAATAAGTCATAAAAAATTATGCAAATTAGCTGGCAGTTATCAGGAATAATTGTAAAGAATTGGACTACTCTCCAGTTCTATGGAAGGATACAAGATAGATAGGTGAAATCATCTTTGGTTAAGAAACCATGCTGAGATTGAATATTCTCTCTCTTAATCAAGTGATCTCATTAAGTTATCCCGTAAAGATCAATTTCGAGAGCAGGTATGGAAACCATGGTACCAGATTGAATAGTCGCTCAATTGATTTTTGTTAAATATGTGAAGACAACGTCATTCCATAAGCAAGATTTAACGTTAAGGATTTTACTCTCTATGGCATTTGAGTTTTAAACGAATCAACTGACCTTTATTATTATTAGAATGATTAATGGAATACCGTGAGAACTTCTAAGTTATCCAGGATAAAATAAGGCTGTTGACTAAACAACTTTTAATAATGTCAATGGAACCTTTTGAACCGATTCACTATCCCAAATAAGGGGATTACTATGTTTTTGTTGTTGTGACTCGAGGAGACCTGCTTGTGAAATACCATTGGGAGGTGTTGAACTGCACTTAGCCGTCGAAATTGACGTATGACTTTGGGAAGTAGACCTGGTTGTTCGTGGACCCAAATAAGGGATAAACCTAATAATAATTTGTACGTGACTCCAAAAAGTTTACTCTGTTTTAATAAAATTAAAAGTATTAGAACCTGCAGTTATCTTTTCAACAGATGACATTGTTGAGCTTGCTCACATAGTGGATAGAATCTGTCTCATTGTTGAAACAAACTTTAGTGTAAATTTTTAATAATTATATCCTTAACTTTACAAGAATTAACTTAACATATATTTTGTAGTTTTTTCATTTAATTTTAAAAAAATGCAGATTTTTCAGTGTTAATTAAAATAGATCATATATATTTTTAAACTATTCAGTATATAATTAAAATTAAAATTTTGGAAAATATTTCTTTTTATAAATCATAACTTTGAATGTATAAGTTGACAATATTTAAATATTTTAAACACAATAAAAAATGTAAACGAATTGCATTCGCATATTTAAAAAAAAAGACATTTTTACATATAATTGCATACTTAATAATATGAATAATATTTTATATATATATGTAAGATTATTTAAAGTTGTGAATGTGTTTTACCCACATGTGGACTTTAATTATTATTCTTAAATTTTCATCCATTACTTAAAAATGCAATAATTTTTGCATTTTTTATTAAATTATTTACTTTTATCCGACAGCTGAAGTTACCAATTCGGCAACATCAGGATCTGTTGTACGAACTGTTAATTGCATCGTTACTCCATCGTCTAATGCCAATTTAGAGCGTACATATATTTCAGCTCCACTCCTAAATGTGCCTGTTAATTATAAAAGAAAAAAGATTAATTTAGTTTTAAATTATTTCTAAATATTTCATTTATTTAAGTTATAATTTTTGTTAAATAAAATAAGTAGCGTTTCATTCACTCTTTTCTTCGTCTTTAGAAACAAGTCGAAACAAACATTTTATACAAAGAAATTATTTACCTGAACAAAGCAGCGTATGCGTATGCGTTCCTTCTGGTACTGTGTCGGACAGGTTAGCTGCACCTAACCCTAAGAATTTAAGTATTGTATTAACAGCTTCTTGTAATGTATTGACTGCAGCTAACGAGTACGTGTCTTCAGCCTCAACCCATTCTAAATGCAGAAAACAAAAATATATATTTTTGAATATTGTTTTAAAATATTATATATATAGAATTTTTGTACATTACCTTTGGTATCTGCAGCGTCCCAAACAACTTGGAAGTTATTTTTTTTCGTTTTTTGTATTTGATCGGCTACAGTTACTTCTAAATCTTCAAGCATATATTCATCATCGTAACCCTCATCAGAATCCGGCTCTCCGGTATTAGGATCACAATCCTTAACGATAAATCGTAACGTGGCACCAAAGGTAGCTTCATGAAAAATTAATTTATGTATATTAATGTTTTATATATAAAAAAATAAATAATTAATATAAATTACCAGCAGATCTGCCGACATCTGGTGGAAATTCTACAATAACATAAGTGGTTTGCATTTCATTATAAGATAACTTCGCACAGGGAATAATAGAAATTATATTAAATCCATCCGGTATGGTTAGGTCAACCCGAACATTTTCCAATATTTGTTCCGATAACGTATTAAGACAATCAAACTGTAAAGAAAAATTTTATTATAATATAATATTATATTTTAATATCGACGAAAAAATAAACTATTTAAAAGTTCAAATAGAAATGAAAAGACAACAACAACAAAACATATGTAACTTACCTGAAATACGACATGATTAGGGAATATATGTTTTATGCATTGCACAGTGTACTCGGTTTCACTTTCAGTTAATTGAGTTGGCATAGTAGTGCGATGTATTGGACCCAGTAGTTGTATATCAGGCAACTGTGCCAAACGAGCAGCACTCTCCTCTTCACGTGTAACTTTAAGTGCACGTGGTGCTATAATAAGATTTAATATATTTTAAATGCTCTTTCTACAGATATTATTTAAAAAATATTTACCATTTGATACAAGCATAGCTTCATTAGTAACTTCTTCCTTAATTATTGTTGCTTTGGGCACAATGGACAGATCAAATCTATTGGTTAATTCACTATTTAAATGTTCGGTTAGAGCTTTTTCCAACAATGCCAATGAGCATGTTTCACGTTCAATAATATAATTTTTATATAATTCCGGTTTACCAGTTTGTAATATATTCAAATAATATGTAGCACGATCACGCACCTCATCATCTGGATCCATTTGACAACGGTTTAGAAGTACTAAAATGTTATGCAAAAGTGCTGGGCAAGAAGCACCAAATTGTGCTAAAGCAGTAACAGCGGCTGCACGTACAATTGGACTCTCCAATATAACACGATTATAAATGAAGCGTATGTATTTTGATGGTGTATTCGCAAATGGTCCCTCTTTACCAAGTAAATGTAATATACGCACGGCTAATGAAACATGTTCACAATCTTCAATGAATTCACATAAATGCGATAAGCCAGATTCTTTAGCTTCGGCATTCTCTTCGATTATAGTGATTATTGTGTCGACTATCGATGTTTTATATTCAATTCCACCTTCTTCTCGTAACATGCCGCTGAGGAAATTCATAAGTATTGTATGCTTACGTGGATATTTGGTGCAAAGTGCACAGATCGCTTGTACAACGACAACTTTAAATTCATCAGAGATTTCTGCAACAAATGATGAAATTTGTTTCATTAAACGTTCTACGGAAGATTCAGCGCCTGTTTTTAAGAGCGTAGTTATAGCTAAAGTAGCAACAGATCGATTCGAATCCGTTATAAGACCTTCTAAATCTAAATTACATGTAGTAACAGCAGCTGGGTGGGTCATGGCTACTTTATTAAGCGTGCGTACAGCAGCAAAGCGTAAAGTAGCTTTTGGTGCATTACAGAACATTTGCAAAATAGAGAAAGCCGGCGAAAGTGCGCGGGGATTTGTGTTTTTAAGATTAACGATGGCATGTGCTGCTTCATAGACAACCATTTCACTTTTGTGACGTAAACATAATTCCAAAAATGCAAATAATGGCGATTCATCTGCAGATTGATCTTCTTCTTCAAGCAGTTTGCAAGTAATACGTATCTGTGTAAGGAAAATATTATAGTATAATTTGTTTTAATTATAATTTGATTTACTTTTAATACATACCAGCATACAGACAGCATATGGACTCTTCACACCACTATGTGCCAATTTATTTACCAGTTTAGATACAGCCAGACGATCAGATTTACGTATGTGATAGAGTAAACCAAGTGCATGGTATTGTACCATTATATTATCGCTATTAAGTGCTTCGTGTGCTTCATTAGCCCATCTTTTGACAACATCGCCAGCAGTGCTTGCCAATCTTAATGAGCTAACAAGTGCAGCACAGGAAACACCTGGATTTTTATCTACAATACATTGTTTCATATAACGTTCCACTGCTTGTAACATAGTGTGATCTGTTATACTGCAAAGTGCACGTATTGCAGCGGCACGATATAAATCCTCTTTGCCTGTCATATCCTTAGTAAGTGAGCTTGTTACTATAATCACATCTTCGGCGATTGAGCTTAACTCTTTGATGCCTAAGTATACCATACGCCTTAAAACAACGTCTTTTGATTGAAATAGTTTTGTCATGGCAAAGAAGCAATCTGTGGCCTCGCGAGCCACCAGCTGTTCGCCTTGATTGATAAGGTAAAGTATCTTGGTAAGAATTAGTATGCATTTCCTTGGAATAACAGGCGTGTCATTGAAAGTGCGTGTCTCTTGTAATACTGAGGTTTTCTCTAAATTCTGATATATATTGGTGCTGCCTATAATGTAATAAATTCGAAAGAACTTTTAATTTATGTATTAAGTATTAAAATATGTGCATTTTGTTATTGTTTACTTAAAAATGTAAATATTGCATCAGTTTTGACTACGCTGAATAATCACTGCAGTCAGAAGGTGCTCCGGTTTTGGCTTTTATAAATTCATTCACACATACTTACCCTCATCTTCATCCTCTTTCTCACGACGAAAAGAACCCATTTTTACTTAAGTTTTATCAGCGAGTACAGATTTCAATTATTAATAAGCTATTTTATGTTTTATTTAAGATTTTGTGTGTAAAATAGCACTATGGCAGCGGAAAATTTAACACGTCACATTCACAAGTGCAAAATGTCAAAATTTACAAATATATACGTTGCATGTAGAGTAGCCAACTTCTTAAAAAATATTTCTATTTTTAATAAAAGAATGTTATGGATATATACGTTCAATTGCAAATGATTTTGCAATTATTAATATCATTATATATGTACATGAAATGTAATATATGCAATTTGCAAAATAATTATAATGTCTTATAAACTATTTTTAATTAAAATTATTATTGTGGTACGGACAGTTTTAAAAAACAGCTGACTAGAAAAGAATTCAAGCAACATACACATAATTATTTATAATGAAATAAAAAAAAATATTAAGTTTAATGATGTAAACAGTTAAGAATAAGAAAAGTTTAAAGACTTGTCTGTTTAAAAGACAACCATTCTATTAAAAATTCTAGTTTATTGTAGTGGTATACATTATAATTATAAAATATGGAATTATTAGCACTGTTAGTGCATTAGTGAAAAATCAAAAAGTAAAGTAAATAAGATTTTAGTGAACCATTGCATTCTAAAATCGAGAATAGGTTAATATGGCATTTACACTGGCCGCAAATGACTGATTTGAAATGAGTCATTTGTGGCTAGTGTAAATGCCATATAATACTATCTGCTATTGTTTTGGCATTTAATACAATTAAATTTTTTTACTTCATTTGTACTTTGTGTTAAATTGTAATTAATTCTACGTACAAAATAAGACAATTATACTTAACATAGCTTTATTATAATATATGAAAACATTTATATAAACATTGCTTTATATGTTTGTATATGTCAAATATTTTATAAATATATCTTATATTAAATATTTAAATTTTAACAATTATTACCTTTTCCCCTACGTGTATTTCGATTCATTTTGTTGTTATGAGCCAAAAGTTTTAACCAACAATTTGGCATATCTGAAAACAAAAAATATAATAAAATATTTAAAATCAATATTAAATTTATTTCAATGCGATAATGAAAATAATTTTCATATTACACTTTAATTAACAAATATATATATAAATACTAATATATATATTAGCAACAGTAATTAAATTATTATAGATTTACATAGCCAATATTCTTCTTCTATGTTAGGATATGAACTTGCTTTTTAGGAATTATGACAATGAAGTTGGCAACGCGAATCAATTTTGACGTTGCATTGTCAGCTTGGTTGCATGAAAAATTGTTTTCGTATCTATACAGATTTAAAACACAAAAAAAATTATTATTGGTGAACAAGATCGTACTTAAATAAATATTTTAAATTTATACAATATTGCAAATATGAGTGGGCGAATCCGTTCACCTACCACCAAAAGTTCGAAAAGATACAAATCACGTACGCGTTCCAGAAGTTCTAGCCGCAGTACGAGTAGTTCGGGAAGTGATAGTAGCAGTAGTGAAAGTAGTGCTATTAGTAAACATAGTCGCAATAAATCAAGGAGAAGAACACGATCAAGAAGTCCAAAGAATAAAAGACGTGATCGTTCACGCTCAAGAGAAAAAAGTAGTATAGTACAGAGAAAGAGATCACCTTCTAAAAGCACTAATAAACGCCGTAGTCCACAACGTAGTTCCCGCCGTTCTCGTTCGCGCCAGAAAGATAATAAAACTTCGAGCCGGCATCAAACCAACTCTAGAAGATCACGTTCACGTGAAACAAATCCATTCAAACGTAAACAAATTTCAAGTTCTAGTAGAAATTCTGAAAGGAGAAGATCACGCTCTAAAAGTAATGATGTTAGAGACAATGGTTCAAGACATCGAAGATCCAGATCACACTCGAGAAGTCACAATAATAATTCAAAATCAAATACACATGAGAATGATAGACACTCACATTCAATCAGTAAAAATACTGAATATAGTATTAACAGCGAACGTTGGCCAAACGATAGATTTCATGATAATAATTATTTACCACGTGATACAAAACCTCATAGACCACATGGTGAATCTAATAGAAGACACAAAACTGAAATGAAATATATGGACACCAGACGTTTACAGCGTGAAAGTATTGGCGCTGAAGGCGTTGCTGAAATATGGGGTAAAAGTCCTGCACATATCGAAAATTTTTCATGTGCTGAAAGCGATGTGGAATTGTTGGAACATACATATAAAGGACCAACAAAAAAGAAAAAGAACAAAAAAATGTCTAAAAAGAAATCAAAAAAATCTAAGAAGAAAAAATCAAAAACTAGTAAAAAATCTAAAAAAAGAAAATCTAAAAAATCTTCATCGTCTGATTCTTCAGCTACATCCGATGAGAGTTCTGATGATAGTTCCGATGATAGTACAAGTAGTTCAAGTTCTGATACTGAAGGTGAAGGCGAAGGAGAGGAAGTTTGGGTAGAAAAAAGTGCTTCTGATAAAAAGAAACGCAAGAAAACAAAAGATAAAAAGTTAAAGAAAAATAAAGAAAAAATAAATTCCGATAAAATTGCAACATCAAAAACAAGCATAAATGATAATGAAGAGTTTGGACCCACCTTGCGTCAAACTACCGGCTTAAACCAAAAAGATTTTGGACGTGCACTGTTGCCTGGTGAAGGTGCTGCAATGGCAGCATACATTGCTGAAGGAAAACGCATACCCCGACGTGGTGAAATTGGTCTTACTTCTGAGGAAATAGCAACGTTCGAAGATGTGGGTTATGTTATGAGTGGCAGCAGGTAAGTTTATTCAGTATTTTTTGAAGATGGATTTTATTTACTAATTTACATCTTTTAATTTATAGACATCGTCGTATGGAAGCGGTACGTATACGTAAAGAAAATCAGATCTATTCTGCTGATGAGAAGCGAGCACTTGCTATGTTTAGCAAAGAGGAACGACAGAAGCGTGAAAATAAAATTTTATCACAATTCAAGGAGATGATCAACTCTAAACTCCATGCAAAAGAAAAGAAATAATGGATGTATTTGTAGTGTGATGCATGTAGCATAATAATAAGCTTCATTAAACTGTAAAAAGTAATTATCATTAAAGCAACTCATTGTATGATATAATATTGTTATTGAAACTTATTTTATATAGTAGACATGAAAGATTAGTTGATGTTACTTGTTACTATTGTTCAAAATGGTACATATTTCTAATGTAATATTTGAACTAGTGACACGATAATTACATGGATACACTTTCTATGACGAAATTAAATAACTTCTTTTCATGTTTGTTTAGTGCTCTAAAATAATGAACTCATAATGTCTTCGATTATATATTGTAGATCAGTGGCGCAGCCAAGACTGTGCGAAGACAAGATATGCTAAAAAATATTTTTCTTGAAAGTGTTTTTGCAATGTATTATCTATAGATAATGCTAAGAAGATGGGATCTATCCCTTTTCCGTTTTAACACTTTTACAATTGACGTAGAAGAAGGTGGATAGACATCAGACAATAAATATTTACTATGTAATCTTTCATTTTTGACAAGTTTTTACATTACTTTACATTTGGAGAAGATTATGATCGGCCAAAGACAACAAAAGCCGAGTCCAAAAGAGATATGGTGAAGAGAGAGAGAAAGAGAAAACAATACTATATATCTACCCACTTAAGTATGAAGTTCAACTTCAAAACCCTTGAGGTTGAGTGGCATTTTGACATTATATCAAGATAATAGTACATGTACGTCTGTAGAGCACATATATTGTTATCAGGTATAACATATATACCATATAATTTATATGTAATTGAAGTTTTGAAACTGCGGCATAACTATGCATCATAGATAAGGATAAGCTTGGTTCAGATTGTAAATTGTAGTGCCGAAGTTCATATTATAAAGTAGAGGCATCAAAGATTCATTTTGCGTGATTTATATATTTTCTGAGAACTCGCATAGAATTTTGCATTATGGACAATGCATTAAGTTGTTTATTCCATTTACTTATTTTTTCGATAACTGGTTTCTAATCAAATCCAAACAACAAGGGAAATATGACATCATAAGATTTCATTTCTGAATAGAAATAATATACGAAATCTCACAAAAGACTGTAATTTATTTTAATGTCTTATATTATTTTCCCCCTCTTTCTTTTAACATTTGATTGGCACAATATTTATAATTAATTTATTGTTATAAAACAATGTAATTCTACCTGCTATTTATATTATATTAAGACCATGCCATTTTAATAAAAAAAAGAACATAATAAAAAATCTTATTGTATTAATTGAGTAAAGGTAGAATACATACTATACTATATATTTGTCTGTTATTATTATATTATTTATATAAATATTATATGTTATTTGTCTGTGGTGTATATAATTCACTTTTATTACTATAATTTTTACTTTATTTTGTATTAATTCGGAAGTTCTATATTACAATCAACAATCACATATAGATATTATATACGTATATAACATTCTTTATTTCAATCCATATAACCATAATTTTTACTTTATTTTAATTATTTCGAAACTTCTATATTATAATTAACAATCCCATATTAAAATTTTGTATGCGTATATTATTTATTTCAGTCTATATTACCATAACTTTGCCCATATAACCATATTTTTAATTTTATTTTAAATTATTTGGAAAGTTCTATGTTATCACTTACAATCACATGTTCAAATTCTGAAAGGCCAGTATGTACTAGTCAATGCAAATTTTCAGATAACGGTAACCCTGGCAAATTATTTATGCGTTTTGCACTCTTTTCTTCAGTTTATGCCAGTTCTGACGTTAGTGAGCGTGTAGCAGTTATATACTGTTTTCAAAGTAAAAAATAAAATTAAAAAAATAATGAATTATTATAATTTAAGTACTTTGTAATAAAATTACTATATAATAAATAATGTGAAAATATGTGATAATTAGTTAAATACATTTTTGTTTTCATCTGTTTAAATAAGAATTTCTAACCTTAAAGTGGCGAATAAAACAGTTTTTTTTAACCGTTTTTGGGGGTTGAAAATATTTTCGCTACGAATGCCATTCAAAACAAATATCGAAAGCCGCGAAAAAAATCAATGAATATTTGTAGCAAAACAAAAACGAAAACGTGATTATCGAGAGTGCTTTAACACATAAATGTGAGCAGCGCATGAAAGCAAGACAAAACAAGAACAAAAATAAAAAAAGCAATCAATCTCAACTGAATTTAATTTTGAACGTAACACAATTCTAGGCAAATTTTTTGATACCAGTCTTCGCATAAACGTGCAGCGGTTTGGATGTGCATAGATTGGTTGAAAAATGACTGAATATGATTTACAATCGCCCACTAGTGAAGTAGTTTTACTGACGCCTAGCAATCAAAATCCACCGGTTGGGTTGGGTATGAACGGAGATGATAATACACCCAGCGGTAGTGGGACTAACAAACAGCGTGAAGGATCTGCAGAGTCTAACGATAGCAGAGTGCGTATGAAGAAGCAACTTGGGCTGTTAGAGGGTGTTGCGATTATATTGGGTGTTATATTTGGTTCGGGCATCTTCATATCTCCGAAAGGTGTGATACGTGAGGTTGACGCTGTCGGTACATCGCTTGTGATATGGGTGCTATCAGGCTTACTATCGATGATTGGCGCTTTATGCTATGCTGAACTTGGTACCGCCATACCAAAATCTGGTGGAGATTATGCTTATATACTTGAGGCTTATGGTTCATTGCCGGCATTTCTCTATCTCTGGGATGCGATGATGATATTTGTGTAAGTTAAATTTTATTTAAATTTTTTTTTGCTGCATTATTATTATAATCTAGTTACGTTGCTGCAGATTTAATTGATAAACTTAAGTTGATTCTTTGCTTAAAGATTCTAAATTGCCTCAATTGATATAGAAATGCGTTAAATTGGTTTTAAATGCCAATGACTTTAGGTGACTTTGTAAGAGTCATATGTGGCAATATTGCATAAAATATTTATTTTTTTTTTTAAATATTATATATACATATGGTTTCTTAAATTTTGTTAAATATTTACTTCACTCTCTTCTAATATATATATGTATATATATATAATTGTCTAATCACTCAAATGTCTGCATGGAATTTATTTATTTAATTTTTTTTTCGCTTGTGTTAATAAATATAATTATGTTCTCCAATCACACGACACTATCATATCATATCTAATAATTCTCAAGACCTACTTTGTGTGTCTACACAGTTAATTGTTTTGATAGCGTCTCAATTTACTTACTCCGTTTTCATTTACGAGTATCTAGTTTTTGCGGTATTTCGTATATAAATTGTTTAAATTATTTTTATCGCTTCATTTTTTATTTACTTTTTTTTTGCTGATTTTTACTTATATATGTATATATATAATACCATATTTTTTTGAATTAGAAATAGAAATAGAGATATCGAAGTTATGGTCATGCATACACCGAAGATCAATAAATAGAATTTGTTTACGTAGTGGCACGATTGTCATAAATTTTATAATTAAATGGAAAGTTTAACAATAGATACGATTTATAAATAATATTTTAGTTTCACACTTGCGTAAAATGTTGTAAATATTTATGTAAACCAATTCAGAGATCCATGAAATTAAATTAGTAATGGAGATAAGAGTACCCAACATTACTAAAGGCAATTCACCTCAAAAATTTTTGATTTTTTTATAAGTGATAATATATTTATAATATTAGTTTTTTTAAAAAGGTATCTAATATTGTCTGCATACACATATAGGACAGTGATAATTGAATAATCAAACTTTGACAGTCAATCAGAAAGTCGGAGAAGATGCAAATATTTACAATAAATTAAAATTTTGTTATCGTCGATCTTATGAAGTATGGAGCTTATTAAGTACGAGTGTGGATTAAAAATTCGGGGAAGGCAGAAAAGTCTTTTGTTCCCAACGTGATCTAGTAAGCCATACCTTCTGCTCAGAAAGTACTATGATTTTGTAAATAAAACACACAAATTTAAATTTTATTCCAAATTTATTTTATCTCCTTTAAAATATGCTCCTCCTGAAGCGCTACACATATACCAACGCTTAACCCAATCTTCTATACACTTTTCGTAGGCCCGTGAAGGTATGGCTTTTAGTTCCTTCAGCGAATTCTCTTTTACCGATTCAATCGCCTCAAAACGGAAACAGGAAAAAGTCGTACGGCACTAGATCTGGCGAATATGATGCCTGAGCGATGACAGTGGTGCCGTGTTTGGTCAAAAAATCGCGTACAACAAGAATTTTCCATAGTAAAAATCGCTAAATGCACTTGAGGTAGTCTCACATTAACAGCTGCTGTAAACAAACTAATTAACAGATGGCGCTCAAATTTGTACCATATGTCAAGAAAGGGTGTGCCAAATTAACAAACAAATTTTTTTGAAAAAGGTCTATTACTTAAGTTAACAAACAACGAAATCCGGATACTTTTTGTGCAGAAAGTACAGAAAGTACAAATTAACAAACAAATTTTTTTGAAAAAGGTCTATTACTTAAGTTAACAAACAACGAAATCCGGATACTTTTTGTGCAGAAAGTACATCTAAACAAAAACAATATAATTTAGAGTCTAAATCTAATTTACCGCAAATTTAGTCCATAAATAACTATTGGTAATATTTTTTTTAATATGCAGTGGCATATTACTATTCCCTTCATTAACTTGAAAATGAAGATGTGGGCATTGTATAATTTTGAGTTTAGTTAGATTAAGTTATGATATCAATATGATCTTAAAGTTTTACTTATTAAATCTCTGGTAAGTACTACAGCTATATCCTTAACAGTCCGACAATGCCGAACTTCTCTTTACAAAGTAGCTAGACGTGTCAAAATCCAGAGTCCCCTCACATGGATACCAAGACAAAGGGACATCTTGGGCAACTGCAGGGCAAACGAGCTTGTTAACACAAGCACTTTGCTTCCTAACTTTAACTTTTTGAGTACACCATTTGTAACGGTCAAGCTGGCAATTAAACAAAAATATCTGAGCATAACTAAACAAACTTGTGCAGATTAACCCTGCTCTCAGACCCCAATATCGACCTGTTACAAACAATAAACAT